TAATGGAAATGCTGGCTGAGTGCCCCCTGCGCCCTGCCTGGTTTGTTGTGGTGTTTATATTATATTGCACCTACCGCGCAACCGCGCGTTCCGTTAAAAATAAAAAATATATGACAATATATCAATATACACACAGACACATAAACATGCACATAAACATTTATGTGCAACAACCTGCCTGGTTTGTTGTGGTGTTTATATTATATTATATATATGTATGAATTACACATGTAAGCGTCGCATAATATTAATTGTTAATTGTATTAATTGTAATTTAATTAAACATACCGGTGGCGTCGCGGGCAGCATAGCCGGCAGGTGACGCTAAGCGCTTAACTTTCGCAGATACAGTATATGATCGGCACGCGTGGTCAATTGTTGCTTTTGTTGTGACAGTAATGTGAGACGAGATCGCGAAACGGTTTCCACCTTCGCATCCCTCTCCGTCTTTCTCTTACAGCGAAATTTCCCACTAAGACATGTAAGCGTCGCATAATGAAGCGTCGCATATTCACGCACTTGAGTGAATATCATACGGACACATCCATATTGTAAATGTTTATGTGATTATATCCCGTTAAAAATAAAATGCTCCGTAAATATGTTACTGATGTTGACAGTCAGCCTTTGACTTCAAGACTTTCCTTCTACGTACGTCTTCACGTTGCCGCCCCACTTTCACGATGTTCACACACACACACGCGCACGCGCACGCGCACGCGCACGCGCGCGCGCACGTGCAAAATACAACAAACAATTATTTACTTCATTATATATTTATTTTCTGTTGCTGAAAAGAAGCAAACACACATATATATATTTAATTATTTGTATATTTATATATACTACATCCATCCGACGAGATCGCGAAACGGTTTCCACCTTCGCATCTCTCCGTCTTTCTTTACTGTGAAATATCCCACTAAAACATGCAAGCGTCGCATAATGAAAGTATGAGCACACGCACACGCACTTGGAGTGAATATAACACGGATACATCCATATAGTAAATGTTTATGTGATTATATCCCGTTAAAAATAAAATGCTCCCTAATATGTTGCTGAAGTTGACCTTGAAACTTTGTAATATAATTCACTCGCGGGCGCACACATACTATACTTACATAACACGCGCACGTGCAAAACATGCAAGCGTCGCATAATGATGTAAGGTGTCTACCGTCACCTACGAGTCAAAGCCATTCTACGGGATTCTACAGGATTCACCTACAGGCCTCGACCCACGATTCACGGCAAGCCAGGCAAGGCCACGGCTGCCAGCGTATATAAGGACCGCCTGGGATCGACTCGGGGTGCTTCATTCTACCAGACGGCCAGGAGAACCGACCGTGTAAGGATCCAACCCTTACAATGAAAGTGTCAGCATGAGTATGAGCACACGCACACGCACTTGTAGAAAATATCACACGGATACATGCATATTGTAAATGTTTATGTGATTATGTTCCGTTAAAAATAAAATATATATATATATATAATCATATCAATATACACACAGACACATAAACATGCACATAAACATTTATAAACGTTTATATTTCTAATGGAAATGCTGGCTGAGTGCCCCCTGCGCGCCTGCCTGGTTTGTTGTGGTGTTTATATTATATTATATATATGTATGAATTACACATGTAAGCGTCGCATAATATTAATTGTTAATCTGTATTTAATTGTAATTTAATTAAACATAACCGTGCCTCGCGGGCAGCATACAGATACAGATACAGATACAGTATATGATCGGTACGCATGGTCAATTGTTGCTTTTGTCGTGACAGTAATGTGAGACGAGATCGTGAAACGGTTTCCGGCCACCTTCGCATCCCTCTCCGTCTTTCTCTTGCAGCGAAATATCCCACTAAGACATGTAAGCGACGCACTTGAGTGAATATTATACGGACACATCCATATTGTAAATGTTTATGTGATTATATCCCGTTAAAAATAAAATGCTCCGTAAATATGTTACTGATGTTGACAGTCAGACTTTCCTTTCTTCCTTCCTTCTACGTCACAAGGCTTTGCTCACAATTAAGGCAGTTTGCCTATCTATTATCTATATATTTATATTCACCTAAGATGTATTAATGTTCGTCTACAATAGTATATATCGATAAATAATACTAGATTTGATTTTCTTAATGTAAATGCATGATTTCCCAACGTGTGCTCTCTCCAATAATAGAGTAAATATTTTCAACGTCGTGAAAGTGGGGAATGTCAGCTCTCATGCTGTTTCCCGTCTTTAAAGAGCAGCATAACAATATTTCATTGCATGCTTCCGTAAAAATCGGGATTGCATTCCTGCCTGGCTTGCTCGCTGATTTACTGCCCACCTGCGCCTTGCCAGGTTCGTTGTCTAGCTATAGTCAGCTAAACACATACGAATGCATATAATTATATAATATTTTGCTAAATGTGTGACATATCTAATGGAAACGGGGCATGCCCAGAATGGAAGTCACCTGATATGGTAAACATTCAACTGTCACCAATTCTAAAATCACAGCACGCGCATTTGTTTTGTTAGCGATTTGAATACGATGCGGTTCACCGAAAAGTGCGAGAAACAGGAAAAAATCCCAATACGAACTCTACTGCATACGCCGCCGTTACAGTTCGCGCGTGTATGTTATATATTATACATAATAACCGAGCAATAACTAAGTACCATATTATATACGTGCGTGCCGTCTCTTCTAACAACCGATTTACTATATATACTAAACGCGCGTGTGCGTGGCTGAGTACGGCCGCCGCTAGAATTCGCCCGTGTATAACCGAGCAATAATATACCAGTACCATATATTATATACGTGCGTGCCGTCTCTTTTGAAAACCGATTTAATATATATGAAAAACGCGTGCCCACTCTAATTCGAAACCCGCGCACCCGAACACACACACACACGCACACACACGCGCGCGCACACACATACATAATATAGTAACTGTTTATCTAATTATATCCCGTTAAAATAATTAAAAAAAATAATTGGTATGCACGTGGTATGAATATATATGTTATACGCGCGTGCCCGACTCTAATTCGAAAATATGAAATTTATTCCCAACGCCGAATGTCCAACAACCAATCAAATGCGCCGAAACCATGTAACAATTACAAACTGGCTTCCTTGCCAAAATATACAAGCTACGACGCGCGAGTACTGGTGTGTGTAGTTTGCCGAGCAAAAATGGCTTCTTTGCAAGGAAAAATGATTCTTGTCAAAGTTTGCGAGGTACCTGATACCTGATCGTAACGTAATCGTATATGTTTGTGTATGTGCGTGCGCGTGTGCGTGTGCGTGGCTGAGTACGGCCGCCGCTAGAGTTCGCGCGTGTATAACCGAGCAATAACTAAGTACCATCTTATATACGTGCCTGCCGTATTTTCTGAAAACCGAATTAATATATATGCAAAACCCGCGCACCCGAACACACACACACTCGCACACACACGCGCGCGCACACACATACATAATATAGTAACTGTTTATCTAATTATATCCCGTTAAATACGTACGCGCGGTAACTCGCAAACTTTGACAAGAATCCTTTTCCCGTGCAAAGAAGCCATTTTTGTTTGGCAAACTACACACACCATCATTCGCGCGTCGTAGCTTGTATATTTTGGCAAGGAAGCCAGTTTGTAATATTGTTACATGGTTTCGACGCATTTGATTGGTTGTTGGACATTCGGCTTTGGGTATAAATTCACCCTGAGGTTATTTGCCGGTGCATTAACTGCTCAGAGAGGTTACCAATCTAACCAATCTAACCAATCTAACCAATCTAAACAGCTGATATATCCGTTACGAAAAGAAATTTCATTGTGTACAGAGATTTTGTTGGGAACATCGACACTACAAGCGAACCATGGCACAGCAACTGACCTCTCCGTCCACCTACGCCGATCCTGCATGAGGAACGCGACTGAACAGGTACAGCCTAATTAAGACATATATTTTGATATTTATGTTATTTGTAGTTTACAATGAATTATTGCTTGTCTATTCTGCCTGTTAAACCGGGTAGCTGGAAGCTGATCGAGGTGTGTATAGTCATCGAAGTTGTCGTCGACATGTAACCCGCATATCAAGCATACAAGCATAATCACATGCAACTACTACCCCGCCATATGTGAGTACTTGTACTAAACTGACGTAAGTGTATCAGATTCCTGATAATAGATATAATTATAGATGATATGATAACCAAAGTCAAATCAGATTCGAATATCACAACGTTTAATCATTAAATTATCAAATGAAGCTAAAAATTAAAAACACGCTGGCCCGCCAGTCCAGTTTCGTTTCAGATACAGCAAGGCACCAAGCGTAAAAGGATCGTAAAAAAAAAAAAATCGGACAGTGAGGATGAGAATAAAACATTGAGAGCAACAACATTAAGATGACCGGCCAAAAGTGATGCTGAATGTAAGACGTAAGCCATATTGTTTAATTGGGTTAGTTATTGATTAAATTTAAGCATTAGAAGCTGTCTGGGGTATGTATTTCATATAAACAATTATGATTTATGATTAATTTTCTATTTTAGATGCAATTGTTAGTAATGTAATTTAAATTTTTATAATAATTAAAAGGAGTCATAATATAATTAATGTATCTGCAAAAATATTGTCTAATAAAAATGCATAGATGCATGAGTCTAATGCGGTCTATGAGCTAGCAACCCGCTCACGGCCTGATTGCATACACCACCGTAACTGGATCCATGCCGGCCGCGAAGAGAGAAATGCAGGAATATGGTAATGTATAGCCCGTCAACGAACATGGAACATCCTGGCATGGATTCGAAGACCACCATTCGGAATTGAAATGGAGCAGAAACAACTCCTCCACAAACCATAAATCGCAAAGGATGGTTAGTAACAAGTGATTGTAAAAGTTTTCCCTAGATATATAACAATATTAACAAGTTTACAATCTTACTATAATTATAGATTAAACATATATGTATACTGGTCATGTCAATATATAATTTGTGGTCTTAATATCGTTGATACAGTAATAGTTTACTATGACATACTCAAACCTGGCAAGTCGACATCAAGACTCATTGAAGAGACGTGGGAATAGACCAAGGAATTCTTCGCGACAAGAATATCGGGAAAGTGGACCATACTCGCAAGCAAACCGATATTAAATATTCGAAGAAAGGATACAAAATATTTGAACTACCTGAGGGCTCACAGAAACAACAGAAATCTACCAAACACGAACAGTAGAGAACAATATCATGATTATTATCTCTGTGTTGATATCAGAAATTATATTTGTTTACTACAAAAATGTCTACAAGCAACAATTGATTTCAATTAATCGCATGCGTTTTTTCATTCTGCGCTGATTGCATGATGCAATAAATCACGAAACAAATGCAATGTTGTACCGTTAGATGGCTTACCATGGTCGCAGTATCATGGTGGCATTAATTCATTATTAATTCATCAAACCTTTTGACACGGTTACATAGGGAATTGTAAGCAGCTGACCAGACATATAGTATTTTCATGTTATTAGGACGGTTGAGTATAAACATAGGTCTAGTCGACAATATTCTACGTGTTATATAGCATTGTAAGGCATTTATTGAATTGTTGCTAAGAACGATTGATGTTGTGGCAGCCTTAAACAGCAACATTATACTTGTAATGAGATACGACGCAGCAGAGGAGTGAGCTATTATGCGATATGCGGACTGCTGTCCGCCAGAAGAAAGGACGTACGTTTTAAGAAGAAACAAGCGAGGCTTGGCAGGCATTCTATAGTTTGATTTTGCAGCAGGGCACCCGATCACTGATCTGCTATAGATATAATCTCATATAAAGATTATATTAAGAGAGGTGAGCACCCGATACGCCACTGCGGTTTGCCTTAATTCAATAGCACTCACAGGTATTTCCGTTATGACGCTGAGTAAGAAGGAACGCTTAATAAAAATTAATACATTTATCGTGTTCTTACTTTAACGCGATGGAATATAACCAGAAATTAGCCAATCAGATAGCGTTACCAGAGCGCATGCGCACACTAATGCCATTATCGGACATATTTTTATGATTTCTGATGCGCATCCACTGCAACACTGCATGATTACTAACTCAATAACTACTTTAACTATATATATATAGTAGTAATACTAGAATATGATGCGGTTATTCAGACATCAAAGAAACCTAAAAAGTGAAAGCTAGTTTTGGATGGAAGGAAAAATGAAAGACGTTTATGATATAGCGCCGTTATTGCCAACCATAAACAGTAACATAGTAGTTAAAACGAAGACTGCAGAACGAGAAGACAAATACAGGTAGACGGACAACCATTCTCTTTGGCCTCGACCTCGGACCTCGACCTCGGTGTGCCTGGTAAGATAATGTAAAGGTGAGTATAAGAGATGATGAAGGGGTGAAAAAAATGTAAGATGTGTTAGGAGTGAGGTATAGATCGTAGATGGGAAGAGGTAGGAAGGCCGAAGGAGAGATAGGGCCCTGCTATGGCGTTTGTGTCTAAACTAGAAATTAAAGAACTACTATATATAAGTATAACAGGGTAACGGATTTCTTCTGGGGAGAAATAGCCCTTACATCAACATTCTTGCATTGTGCAACAATGGAGTGATGACGAATCTCCAGGTGGTATCTCTTTTGGAGTCATTGGGGCATAAAGTAACAGGTCAACCTAATGCCCCCACCCCCCTTGCTAAACATACCGTCTCACCTCTATCATTGCCTGCTCCTTTAGATAATGATCCAGCTGGTAATCAGCCTGTTTCTCTAGCTTCATCTGCACCCTCAGATGGAGCCAGACCAAGCTGCTCACACTGGCCCGCCAGTCCAGTTTCGTTTCAGATACAGCAAGGCACCAAGCGTCAAAGGATCGTATCGGACAGTGAGAGTGAGAATGAAGAAGTCGAGAGCAACACCATTAAGGATGCCGCCCAAAGTGATGCTGAATGGTAAGCGTAGCCTATGTTTAATTCGGTTAGATTTTAATTAACATTAGAAGCTGTCTGGTTGTATTCAATAAACAATTATGGATGTTATGATTAATTTTCTATTTTAATGCAACTAGTTTTAATGTAATTTAAATTTTTATAATAATTATAAAAGTCCATAATTAATTAATGTATCTGCAAAAATATTGTCTAATAAAATGCATAGTGCATGTCAATGCTGGTCTATTTATAGCACCCGCCTCCGGCCTGATGCACACCACCGTAACTGGTCCACCGCCGGCCGCAAGAGAATGCAGGATATGGGAATGTATGCCCGTCACGACATGGAACACCTGGCTGGATTCGAAGACCACCTTCGGAATGAAATGAAGCAAAACAACTCCTCACAAACCATACAAGACGTCGCAAGGTATGTTAGTAACAATGATTATTAATGATGTTTTCCATGTATTATAACATATTAACAGTTTACAATCTTCTATATATAATAACATATATGTTCATATCATATATTAGTTGTGCTTTATATCTTGTACACTTAGGTACATGCACTACATCAATCCTGGCAAGTTCGACATCAAGACTTTGAAGGACGTGGGAAAGACCAAGGAATTCTTCGCCAAGATTCGGGAATGTGGCCTCTCGGACCAAACCGTATTAAATTATCAGAAGGGAATAAAAAAATATTTGGACTACCTCACAGAAACAACAGATCTCTACCAAACCGACAAGTAGGAGAAATTTATTTATTTCTCTGTGTTGATATTAGAATTATGATTTGTTTAGCTTAGCCAAAATGTCTCAAGGCAAACAATTGCATTTCAGTTATCGCATGCGTTTTCATTCTGCGGTGATTGCATGATGCATATTCACAAACAATGCCATGTTTACGTTATATGGCTTATCATGGTCGCAGTATCATGGTGGCATTATTAATATGGGCAACTTATGTATTGTCACGGGGGTAACCTAGACTGTAACCATTATGATTCATCAAACTTTTTGACACGGTTACATAGGGAATTGTAAGCACATATAGCGATATTTCGTGTTTAGCGGTGGAGTAAACATGTCTATGAAATATCTCGTGTTTAGCATTGGTGCATTTTGATTGTTGCTACGAGATATGTATGTGATAAATAATGTGATAATTATTCACACTGCTTCTTATATGATATTGTGGATGTTTACTAGGCAACTCTATGAAAATCTGCAACACCTAAAGAGCTGCCTGTGCCACCTGAGGAAAGGGATATCTCGCGGAGTCACCAAAGAAGTCAACAGGAAGAAATACGACCAAATAATGAAAAAAACCGCCATGACCCCAGAAGACCTCCAGAAGACCCAGAAGAATCCTCCGTGTAGCCCGACCAGCGTTCATCACCGCCATGGAAGAGGCAGCCCAAGATCGACTCACAGAAGGAAAACAAGTTTTTATAACACAGTACCTGGAGGCTGTAGTTATCATGAGCCACTGCCAGAGGCGAGGTAATTGCTTATTTTCCTGATCAGTTTTTGTAATCTCTCATTTGGCATTCATCCAATTTTAATTGTCGGTTTCTGTTATTTTTTGGTTGTTGTTTGTGTGTTTGTTATTTATTTTTATTTATTGCTATGTATGTCAGCATGTAATTTTTTCCTATTGTAGCAACAACCTCATGCTTTGCAAATGTTTGGTTTATATTTTTACTGGTTTGAATGATTAGGAGTTGCAATGAACATGAGGACCGAAGAATGGAATGACAGGCTTAAGACAACGTACAATGTGTTTGGTTTATATTTTTACTGGTTTGAATGATTAGGAGTTGCAATGAACATGAGGACCGAAGAATGGAATGACAGGCTTAAGACAACGTACAATGAACAGAAATTCACAATCATCAGCGTTAAGGAGCACAAGACGGCTACAACTCAACTTGCAACGTTTGCCCTTGACGAGGAACAAGAGATGGAAAGTATCAAATCCAGTAACGTCATAAGCCAAATGGGCATTACTTGGTGAGAGAGTTATGTTCTTGGAATGTTCGGAAAACGTTAACCGTCATGGGATGGGTTCGAAATATACCAAGTGCTGTTCAATTTAAATCCTAATTAAAATTAAATGTTAATTATTTCCCTCTTTAGTGGTTCCACACATATTACACAAAGATTCGCCCCAACCTTCTCAAGCCTGGCAAGTACAATCTCAGCAGCGACGACGACGCGTACTTCTTCCTTTCGAGTACGGGGACCAAGCTATTCAATGCCTCAAACGATCTCGCAAGACTGCACAAGAAGTTAGTGATACAGCTATCCTGACATGTACAGTTTCTGCTGTAGATGTATAATCTGGATCACACTCTGTTCTTCTCGTGCGTGTTGTTATGACTTGCTACTGGATTACACACTTTTGCATAATCTCCATCACTGGTTGATTATTATTATTATTGTTTATGCTGGCATAAGTTGTTTGTAAGTTGAAGTATAGTCGAAATGTGTAGTTATAACAGAAAGTCAGTACAGTGCGTTATATAGAATACCCACTTGGTATTTAATCAGCTACCATACAGGCGTATAAGCCTCACGGTAGAATTATTCTGAATTCAATACATCTCTTTTTTGCAGATTTAATATGCCAATCGTCACCTGCAATGAAGTAAGAAAATCTTTAGAAACTGCATCATCAGCAACACTAGGAGACATCGACCGCCGCCACATTGCCGACTACCTCGCACACACGATCGACGTTGCCAACCGCCACTATGTCATCAAGGAAACCGCCAATGTGGCAAAAGCTGCTCAACTGATTGGACGCCTGGTGTAAGTGTACTGTCAAATATTTATTAAATTAATTGGCATATTGACATGAGTTGTATAGAATATAGAATATATAATACATAAACATTAACATAAACATAAACATTTTACAGACACCCTGCAGCTACTCGTATGAAACCAGCCAGCGATGATACAACGGGAAGTGAGAGCGCGACAGGCACAGCCAGTACTGCCAGTGTGGCCCAGTCAGCTGTGTGTCGCTACAATCGCCCTTGATGAGGATCCACCTACACTAAAGACCTGCAAGGACATCGACCAGCAAGATGGACAACGACTCTACAATCGATGGATGTACGAACGAACGAAGTTGCGAGGCAAAGAACTAATCGGTTAGGCTTAAAATCAATTTTTGCCATGGCCACACATTCTGCCACCAAAGATAAATATCATTACACACAGACACTTAAACACACACGCCCCCACACACTCATCGGCGCACACATACTACACACACGTAAACACACACACACGCACCCTAAAGTTTAAATTTCTAATGCAAATGAAGAATGCGTGATTTCATTTTGCGGGTGACAATATTTCATTGCATGCCACCGTAAAAAGCCTGGCTTGCTCGCTGACTTACTGTCCACCTATATGCCAAATGCTAAATGTGTGACATATCTAATAGAAACGGGGCATGTGTGATTCACCCGTCTGCACTCTGCCTAAGGATAGCGTGAAAATCGTTGACATTGTGAAAGTGGGGAATGTCAGCTCTGATGCTGTTTCCCGTCGGACAATATTTTACTTGTTTCGGGCTAATTTGCATTGTATTAACACAGGCGCATTCCCAAGAACAAGACCATCACATTCACTGTATGCGTGGTTGTTCATGTTTCAATTAATCGTAGCAGTGTGGGTGGTTGCTTAAATGTTGGCTGGGCAGTAGTGTACCCCTACATCCCGGCACATTTGTGGCAACTATCGTGCACTGTTACAATGAATGTATCTTACTTAGCTTATCTGAATTACCGTAGTTAAGATGTCTAGTACTAGGAAATATTTTGCATACATTGATTGTACTTTCTTTACCTGATGTCAGGCTTAAAATATTTGCCATATCACGAAAATTTCAGTAAATTAAGTGGCCAGATATATAAACTATTGAAGGCGAGTTTACAAGACCGCAAATTATGATCGCATGGCAAATATTGTTGCACTTCTCCTGACATCAGGGTTTCTTTCTGGGAAAGAAATCCCTGTGCTTGCTTCTTACCTTGACGTGGTCACAGGGCTTTTACTAAAGAGAAGCAGAGAATGTGCAAGCATACACGCATACGTATGCACGTATGTCTGTCGTGTCAATGTGAATTTTTCTGAATATATACATGCATAATATATACGTATATATAGTAGCATCGTTTATCATGAATATAGGATAACATATATTGTTTTACTCATAAATTTATTTATAACTTGTATATTATTTGTTGCTAAAATTTATATATAACTACGATATTATTATTCATTCTCAACTCACTGAGTGTGAGTCAAGTGTATAGAACCCGACCGCTTTACAAAACCCGAAGTCTATTGTGTTAATAGATGATTACTAAAGATGTAGATCAGAGTATTATCAAAATCCTTGATCAATCTGGCTGTTCAGTTGTTGCTACCAAGGCAGCGATGTTAATCGTTCGTGATCAACTAAACAAGAGCAAAAAAAAGTAACAATGCATTGACGAGCCGTGAGACTATTGAAAGTCGGCCGCGGCAGCACTTCCAGTACGGGGGACGCTAGCGTGTACAATGGAATATGTGTACTACTGTGTAGAGGTTGCAGCGAGCTAGAGCAGTGAGTGGTGGCGTCCGATTGCAATTTGTTGATTTGTTAGTCAACTTAGGGACTTTTACTGCAAGTCTCTCACACCATAACCAAAGAGCCTTGGCTTTCCAGAGTAGATAGGGTCTAGAGCAGAGTGGATTTAAAAAAGCACGGGAGAGAAAAACGTAGGACCGCTTTGCAACCAAGCAGCGTATGTTCGCAGAGTGCAGACCGCGGGGTGAAAGCACACGCAGATTTCCACGAGCGAGAAAATCACGGACGTCGCTGTCACGTGCCTCAGAAAAAGTTTCCACATCCTAGAAATTTATTTTGGTCAGGACATCCATTTGTTAGCGGCAGCGTCACACAACACCAAGAACAGACGGTGGGTTGGAGGTTGCTGGCGCAAAGATTGGTGAAGCTTGTACACAGCGCGCCCGGTGGGTGCAGTTCGCTGAAGGTCGCTCTGAACGCTTGTTCGCGATCGATGCTGCTCCAAGAAACAGAGCGAAGACACTTTAATAATGAATATTATATATAAGTCAGACAGAGTGGGCACTCACGGAGAGTGCATACGCTCTGCCAACGACATTACGCCATACGCCATACGACTGACGAACACACGAAATAACCCACGAATATACGCCCCGCGTACTGAGCATGTACAGTGCTCGCCATGTAACCATTTATGTGTTGGCGAAGCTTACTCGCTGGGCTGCGCATGGCCTCGCTGGGTGATATCGATGCGACCGCCAAACGACATACGCCATAGTGCCTCGACGGCGGCTAATATCGATCCGCGCGAGACTACTCGAAAGCACATCAAAACAGCACTAAACACATACAAACATGCACTAACACACGAAACAACAATCGAGAGCGAAAACATAACCTCCTACGAACTCTGTTGGGCAGCAGGTAATCAAGAATTACATGAATTAATAATACGTAATTATACGAGGTATACTAATCAAAGTATATAATAGATGATAGATCATATATCATTATATCAGATCGTATATACGATACTCTCTGTCTCTCTCTGTCATTCCCTCTGCTTCGTCTCTCTCTCCTCTCTCTTCTCTCTCTCTCTTCTCTCTCTCTCTCGTCTCTCCTGCATCACTCTCATCCATTTTCCTTCTCCCCTTCAGGCACACGTCCCTTAAACCGAGGACAAGCCGGCAATCCCTGCTCCAATTTAACCTGAACAGTCTAGCGGGAGTACTCCTTCTACGTGTCCCGCGTTCAGACACGAAGGCTCAGGATCCAGTGCAAGGGGCAGCTGCTGGTTGTCGCTGGTCGCCCTGTTCAGCACAGCAGGCGCTAAGCAACAGCTTCCTCATGTCCGGCAAGAATCCTGCGTCTGTAGACACACGTAGGCTCGCTGGTCGGCAAGGCTGGCTCAGGGCTGGGCGGTAGCTGCATCGGAGTACTCGCAATAGAGTGTGTGTGTGTGGTGTGTCAGTGTTGCTTTCTGGGTGGTGGTCGAAAGAATTAGGTTGGATTTTATATGATATTGAGCATTAAACAGGCTTTTATTACTATTATGCATCTGTGACGGTCTGTTTGATTTATTAGGCCTATTGAGCATACGGAATTGCCTGACGTCGCCTGGCATGGCGGGTTGGGGCAGTAGAGCTTCTGGCTGGACGTAGGCAGGGGCAGTTGTCGAGTGGAATTGGCACTTATCCCGCTGATTAACTCTTTTACGGGGCGATGCGCTATAGGTGAGAGGTATTGTGCGTGGCATAGCTCTGGCTTCTTAGCTAAGCGACTGTTTGTATGCTGTAGATGAATTGAAATCGCTGCATACCGGCTTTGAAGCACCATTTGCGTCAGCTGCTGCAGATGCTGAGTTATGATTGACTTTGGTCTTAACTAGTCTTTGGTGAGTGCCTGCTGAAAGGTCTGGGCTTTGGTGGGTTGGCTAGCCGCTCTGGGTGTTGTCGTAAGTATGCTTGTCGCGCTGCCCGCCTGATGATGAATGTCGCGGTAGGGATTGCGTGCGTACAATGTCCCGTCTCAAGAGAGTTACTGCTATGGAAACATAGATTAACTGCTAAATAATAAATAGCTACCCTATAGGCTTGGGCTCGCTAACTGCTTGGGCGTTCTTTCGGGGCGAGAGATGTGAGCTGGTGAAACTCGATGCACTAACTTGGAGAGGCCTGAGTAGTTCCGCTGCTTGCTGCTACTACACTTTCACCGCTACTGCTGCGATGAATGAACTGTGCTGAATGCGCCTGTTGTTGCTGCTAACTGGCTGGTGGTGGTGCTGCTTCTGCTTGGCTGATCTGCTGCTTGCTGCTGGATGATGATGATTGATACGGCTTGAAAGTGATAGCGTTGCGCCATGTTCTTTACTGACTCTTCTATTGATAAATAATAGGTTCGTGCGTCAACCTTGGCAGAGACACAACGGTTGGGAAATCATAACCGGCAATTATATTTGAAAAAACTCAAACAGCATTATTTACCGATTGCATTATGACATCACCATTAGAGAGCACGATGGCCGGAAAAATCGTGCATTTACGGGCTACTCGTTTTTATGAAAAGGCCCATAACCACGTTTTTGGCGAGTACAGGATTTTAATAGACAGGTAAAATAAATGGGTAGAGACCATGAAGACCCATAATTTAATATACAACTCCCACCGAACTCAGTATGCGCCCGCCTTGCTATTCTCGCCCCTTGCTATCGGGTCGCCGTATAAACGAAACCGCTTGCTCGATCGTCCTCAGGTCTGTTTACACACTCCTCACACCTGACACATCTCTTGAACTCGCTCCTTTAACCCTCTTGGCAACTCACTTTTCCTGTAGCTCAGCCACCCGCACGCACGCACGCACGCACGCACACTGCAGGCACGCACGCACGCATACGCACGCACAGCACGCAGCGAACACACATCACGCACGCACAAGCTACGACGGTCCGCACGCCAACGCACGCACGCACGCAACGCAAGCCAGTCAGCAGCAGTACGTACACGCACGCACCAACTTACGCACGCTTCAATGCAGCAAACATGTTTCAGAAAACACATTAGTTAATAAACGTGTCAAGGTCAAATTTCAACAACAACTCATGATAGAACCAGGAATGCCAATGCCATGCTACAGCAAGAATGTAAAATCGTATATCTTATATATTAAAGACTGGATATCAAGTAAAGACAATAAAAAACCAATACGAAATGCGGGGACTGATATACGCATCCAATGATTAACTTTGAACATGTAAACTCACTCAATAACAAGTGATAGACAGGTGAAATAAACTGTGTAGCAGAGCAAAGCAGTTGCCACTAATATCCGGTTATAACAGATCATATTGTATGATAACAACCAAAGAAGTAATATTATTAATA